TTCCGATCTAAGACTCCACTTACTGTTATCTCGGATACCGCTAAGTACAGGTGCAACTGCTCATCTACCTTAGGAGTATGAAGCAAAGGTGGACTCTAAAGGTACCATTTGAGTTTTTCCAAAGCTTGTTGGCACTCCGGGGTCCACGAGAAGTTATTCTTCTTCTTCAATAATGAGAAGAACTGATGGATCTTATCGGAGGACATTGAAATGAACCGATCAAGGGCGGTTATGCGCTTAGTTAGCCTTTGAACGGCCTTGACATTGTCCACCACGGTGATGTCCTATATAGCTTTAATCTTTTCGGGATTGATCTCGATCCTCCGGTTGGACACCATGAATCCGAGGAACTTCCCGGACCCGACCCCGAATGCATATTTTTTCGGGTTCAGCTTCATATTGTATTTGTTCAGTATGTTGAATGTTTCCTGCAAATGTTCTAAATGGTCCTTTGCTCGTAGGGACTTAATTAACATGCCATCAATGTAAACCTCCATTGATTTTCCTATTTGCTCTTCGAACATCCGATTTACTAGGCGTTGGTAAGTGGCACCGGCATTTTTTAGTCCAAATGGCATTACATTATAACAATATGTGCCATATTTAGTGATGAAGGAAGTCTTTTCTTGGTCTCCCGGGTCCATCCTGATCTGGTTGTACCCAGAATATGCATCGAGAAAGATGAGTATCTCGTGGCCGGCCATCGCATCGATCATGCAATTGATGTTAGGCAAAGGAAAAGAGTCCTTAGGGCATGCCTTATTCAAGTCTTTGTAATCTACACACATTCTTAATTTATTTTCCTTTTTAGGCACTACTACTATGTTTACTAACCAATCCGGGTACTTAACTTCCCGAATGGAACCTATTTTAAGGAGTTTGGTTACCTCGTCTTTGATGAATGCGTGCTTGACTTTGGACTGAGGTCTCCTCTTCTGTTTAATCGGCTGGAACGTCGGGTTCAAGCTCAGCTTGTGAGTGGTTATTTCTAGCGGGATCCCTGTCATATCAAGGTGGAACCAAGCAAAATAATCTATGTTAGCTACAAGGAATTCAATGAGTTTCTTCCTAAGCTTGGGAGTTAGCCCCATGCCCAAGTATACCTTCCGATCGGGCAAGTGCTCGATCAACCTGACTTAGTCCAGCTCCTCAACAGTTGACTTAGTGGTATCGGAATTGTCAGGGGCTATGAACGACCTAGGGACTCTGTAATCATCATCCTCGCATGTCTCCTGCTTCTCTAGTTCGGTCGGGGCCGGTGTCGGTGATTGCTATTTGGTTTCTTTCCTTTTAACCGAACTCGGGTCCTTTGATATCGGGGTCACCTCATCGACCACAAACATTTCTTTTGCTGTCGGCTATTCTCCGTAAACCATCTTGATCCCTCCCGGTGTGGGGAATTTTAATGCCTGGTGTAGTGTCGAGGGTACTGCCCTCATGTTGTGAATCCATGGCCTTCTGAATAGAGAATTGTATCTCATATCTCCTTCGATCACATAGAACTTTGTTCCCTGAACGGTTCCGGCGGTGTTTACCGGTAGGTTTATCTCCCCTTTAGTAGTCTCGCATGCCATGTTAAATCCGTTTAAAACTCAGACTGCATGCACTATTTAGTCTTGTAGTTGTAGACCTAGTTGTTCCACGACCCTCGATCTGATGATATTGGCCGAGCTACCTGGATCAATTAACACACGCTTAACTCGAGATTCATTTATGAGTATAGATATTACCAGCGCATCATTATATGGTTGCACGATGCCTTCAGCATCCTCGTCATTGAAAGATACGGTTTCCTCCGGTACATAATCTCGAGTCTGTTTTTCCCTTGTAATGGATACTTTAGTGTGCTTTAACATCGGCCCTTGGGGGACGTCAACTCCACCAATGATCATGTTACTGACGTGCTGAGGTTCCTCATGCTCGATCTGCTTGTTGGAATCCCTATTTCTAAAGTGACTTTTGGCTCGATCACTCAAAAATTCTCGGAGGTGTACATTATTGAATAACCGTTCTACTTCTTCTCTCAATTGTCGGCAGTCTTTGGTTCTATGGTCGTGAGTACCATGATACTTACACATTAGGTTGGGGTCTCTTTGGGCAGGATCGGATTGCAATGGTCAAGGCCACTTAGTATCTTTGATGTGTCCGATGGCTGATATGATGCCGGCAGTATCGACGCTGAAGTTGTACTCCGATAACCTTGGTGCGTCCTTAGACCCAATGAGTCTGTCGAAACCGTTTTTGCTCATGAGTCCCTGGTTATTATGACCTCAATCGCTTCTTCTTTCACTCCTCGCAGGGTTGCATCCGGACCCATTACCTTTTCAGTCTCCATTGTATGGTTGATACCGATCTTTGTTCGATCTTGGTTCATGATCGACGGCTTTTTTGGATCTGTCACTAGTTCTGACGGGATAAACGGATCCGGAAGGGGCCCCGAGCTGATCGTCTTCGACCCTAATTTTTGATTGGTGCTTGTTATGGACGTTGGCCTAAGTTACCGCCGGATATTCTATCAAATTTTATTTCAACCGCTGCAAAGCCAATGAGGTTTGGGGTTGAGTAATTGGGTGAATGCCTGAACGGCCCAATAGTCTACGACCAGAGGCAGATCCATCCGTTCTATTTGAAACCTTGACACGAATTCCCTGAGCATCTCGTTATCTCTTTTCTTTATTTTGAAAAGGTCTGACTTCCTGGTCTCGACCTTGATGGCCCCGGCGTGCGCTTTCAAAAAGGCATCTGCAAACATAGCAATCGAGTCAATAGAATTAGGGGGTAAGTTGTGATACCATATCATAGCTCCTTTTGACAAGGTCTCTCCGAACTTTTTCAACAGAATAGATTCGATTTCGTGATCTTCCAAGTCGTTCCCCTTGATGGCGCACGTGTAGGAGGTCACATGTTCATTTGGCTCAGTTGTTCCATTATACTTCATAATTTCAGGCATACGGAACTTCTTTGGGATCGGCTTCGGAGTTGCACTCCGAGGGAAAGGCTTTTGGACAAATTTTTTGGAATCCAGGCCCTTCAATATCGGTGGTGCTCCTGAGATTTGATCGACCCTAGAGTTATAGGTCTCCACTTTTTTGTCGTTGGCTTCAATTTTCTTTTCTCCCGATTCCACCTGTTTTGTCAGTTCCTCAAGCATCTTTATTATCTCGGGGATTGTCCCGGGTTCTGCTTCACCCGACCTCTCTGTGGCCGGTTCATTACTGTGAGTATTTTTCCGGGATGGTTCGGGCTCAACTCTGCTGGGGGCACGGCTTTGGTTATGCAACTAGGCTATCGATGCATGTTGAGCCTGTAACATTTCGAAGATCACCCGCAAGTTGATCCGATCACCTTCGCCGTCGTGTGTACTCCGGGCTATCGACCGGGCTCCCCCGCGAATGCTGTTTTCGGGGTCAGTAGGCAAGTTTGCTTCGATAGCCACGTGTGAGTTAGCATCGATCGGATCCACGACTGGGACTCAGTTGGGGTCAACAGGGGGTACTCGTTGTTGGGCACCACGTTGTTGTTCTCGCCATGGTGGCCGAACTCAGCATCAACGTTCAAATGGGCAGATTGGGAGTTTGATATTTTTAATTTGATCTGAAATTAAAAGCTCAAAGAACAAGTGTAAAATAGAGTGTGTTATAAAAATTTGTATCAAATTACCACTATTATCCTTAGCCCCACGGTAGGCGCCAAATTATTTATCCTAAAAAACGAATAACAATTGAATTTATATGTGGTTTTAAAGATATGCGGATTAATTCAATACAAATGATAAATAACCTTAGATTAAATAGATAAAGGATGCAATATTGTCAAATCAATTAAGGGGGGTGATCCCGAACTCAGTAACAGCTTAATGAAATACCTGTCTTCGATCCCGGACTCACGATAATGAAGAACTGATGAACAAAAGTAAGAACTTTGAATAACAAAGAAAATAAGAGTATATTGCCTTGATATGTGTGTTACAATGTGTCTATGAATAATAATTTTTCCCCTTTATATAGTAGGGGAGTTTTACCCTAAGTACAATTCTAAAAAGGGTAAAAATCTTCGGTTACGCCGATCACTGATACGAGTCGAGATTCGCGTTGTGATATACGGTTGGGTTCGGATATCACAGCCCTTTGTTAGTCGTGTGCTGCTGCTCGGTGATGCTCTTCAAAGTCTCAACCCTTAAATCGGACCTCGAGGATATGGCCCCGATATCCCCGAGGGCGGGTGTTTGCCCGATCCCTGATACGAGGGGTTCTTCGTTCTGACTCCGATATATTACGGTCATCTTCCCACTCCGCTCGGCTCACCGGGAAGTTGAGTTATGCGACGGGCTCGGTTTTACCCGTATACAGTTACAGCATTTTAATTCTTTAAATCGAACGTATAATCTTACATACCTAGCGAAATATTTAAGAATGACACACTCTTCTTCAGTTAAATCTCATAGCCTCTGCCTTTGCACATATCCGATAATATAAAAGAAAAAGAGAAGTAATGTGATAGGCTGTATATTATCTCAAAATATAGTCAGATTTTTGCGTTTTAAATTTTTTCTCAGGTGGAATATTTGTTCTTTTATTTTTCTGGGTATTTTTGGAAATAAAATGACAGGTTATAATAACAATGGAGAAAAAACTTTATGTCAGTTTGAAATATTCTAAGGCTAAAGACCAAAATAGAAGGAAAAACAAAAACAGGAAAAACTTTGAAGTTAAAATATTTTCCATATACTGAAATCTCATTGTGTGGACAATGCTATTGACTTGTCTAGGAGAAAATCCGATATCACTGTTATACATCATGTTTTTATTTACGTATATTTGCTTATGAATTTTATGATCAAACTTTCAATTACTACTAATGCCAGAAACGTAGAGAGACTGGACACTACACTAATTCGAATTAGTCGGGCTAGTCGACTTCAAATATCAGATGATTAAACGGGAAAAATAACAACAAACAACTATAAAAACTAACATATTCCTTGACAATATTAGACATTACTAATTGCTATAAAAATTAAAATAAGCCTTCTCATAAGCCTGTGGATATCCAGGATCAGGATTATCAAAGAAAGCCAATTCTTCTTCAGTCAATGACTCAAACGGTCCATCAATTAATGGTGGCAATTTAGTTAGTTCAGTATACAACGGCCAACCACCATATCTCAGTGCTGAAGAAGATATCTCCGAAGGGATATCCTGAGAATGTTTACACAAATTAACCTTCCTCTCAACGCTACATAGAACATAGTCTTCATGTCGGATTTGACAACGTTGTCTTAACACCTCTAGTATGTTGTCACTAAGACAATATTCTTTCATATTCCATACGATTCTTTGATGATCACTACATTCTTCATCAAAACGAAAAGTTTTCTTCAACCCTATAATTGATCCTTCCTTATCGTGAACCGCTTTACTCGTGTCCCGTCCTTTCCATGAGCCACCTCCAGTAATTGACCTATTATAGTTTTTACCACTGGCAGATTTTTTCTTCAACTGAGTAAAGAAATAGTTTACATGATCATTACTCGTCTCCTCTTTGCTACATAATAAGTCTTGGAATAATTCACATGGCTTCTTGTTACCGTACACATCTATATGTCCAATACGATCGGTTTCAATTGGCATTCCGCAAACGAATTTCTGTAGATAGCTTATGAGATCTTGATCATTATAGGGCTGAAATTCCGTTGTACACTTTCTTCGTTCGCTTTTCGTCGTCATTATTTTTCTTCTTTTTCTTTTAAACGAAAGAACAATGTGAGAGAATGTAGAAAGCTAGAGCAAGAAATAACGTTGCAATATATATATATATATATAGAGAAAGTTAAGAGATGAAACAAAGAGAGGAGTTGTAAAAGCAAATTAGGAAAAGTTAAAAGTATTTCCTAATTCGAATAGGAAATTATACGGAGTAGTAAAAACAAATTAGGACAACTCCCGGACATATATAAGGTCTTGAAATATCTGAGGTCGCTTAATTACATTACCATAAAAGAGTTCACTTTATCGTTGTCATCAGATATCAACTAAGAAGTATTGGGTATTCAAAATAAAATATGGTACACCAAATATGGGAAAAGGATTGGAAACATATCTATCTTTGAAAAAACTATGAGAAAAATATTATTCCACAAACTAAATAATACTCCCTATCTCCCATTTTAATTGTCGCTTTAGCTCTTTTCACGTCAATTAAAAAAATAATACAAGGCATAATTTACTTAGTTATCCCTATTAAATGTTTTTTGAGAATTGAGCTAGTATTAAAAAGAACTACTACTTTTTAGTATTAAAGGTATAGTTGGAATTAAACAAGTAGCAAATTTAGTCTTGAATTCTTAAAGTGACAATTATTTTGGGATAATTTTCTGAGCTAAAGCGATAGTTAAAATAAGACGAATGGAATATAATCCCTCCGTTTCAAAAAAGAATGAGGTTTCGAAGTACGAATCTCAAGCTTTTTCATTTTGAGTTTCAATTCAGAAATTAATTTTTAAAAATTTTTATTAAAGTAAAATTTCAATAACTAAAAACTACGTAAAAATAATATAAGTACAACTTCTTATAATTAAAACATAAATGAAATGTTCGAATTTACAGTAAATAGGGTGGTAACTATACTGTCTTGTTATTTTAAATAATTTTGCTACTACTTAATAATTCCATTTATATGACACTATTTCTATATTACATTGATCCAAAATATTTGTGATTATCTTAATTTCGAGATTACTATTATTAATCATGTTTATATTCACTATTGCATATTTGCTTATAAATTTCAAGACAGAAGTACATGACTCAATTACTATTAATCTCAGAAACCTAAAGAGATTGGAAAACATACATTATTATATAATACAAAAATGAACATGGACTTTATTCGTTAATCTAACTGACAAAAAAATGGTTTTATTCATTATCTAATTGACATCAAATGTTTTTTCCTAATGACATGATTAAAACCAACAACAAAAAATAACAACAAACAATGATAAAAAATACTAGTACTTAATAGATTATTTGATAAAAAGATAGTAATTGCTAAAACAATTGAAATAATTGGGTATGAAGGCCTTCTTCAATTATTTGGCCCTGAAACCTTAATCTACTGCCTTCATACCATCTTAAATCATGAACTGGAAGTTTGTATAAAATAACTAAAACCACTAGAAATAGTAAAATGTGCCATATCATGTTTCTTCCTTTTCAATCATTTCTTGGCCTCTTTCTTGTTCTCAAATGCCTCTGGATATCCAGGATCAGGCTTATCAAAGAAGGCCAATTCTTCTTCGGTCAACGACTCAAACGGTCCATCAAATGGTGGCAGTCTAGTTTCTGCAGTATGTAACGGCCATCCATCATATCTCGGTGCTACAGCTGCTTCATTTTCATGACTACCGCGGGGTGAGGCTTGAACCGATGGAAGTTTAGGGAGTTGAACAGAAGAAGGAAGATCCTGCGCATCACGGAGATGGTTGAGTGTTAATCCTATAACACTAACCTCATCAGCATTTGTGTTGTTGCCTGTAAGAGAAGGAAGGATAGTTTGCTGACCATGTTGAGGACGAGAAGGAAGCACAGTACCATCTTGAAGCCAAGAGTTGGCCACGGTCCAATCAAAGCTGGGCTCATCAAGAATATGTTCGGGACAGCAAGGTACCACAAGGCTGTTACTTGGGCCGTTGTCAGTCACCACCACACCATTGTTAGCTTTATATGGCCCTGTAGAAATCGGAAGCGTCTTTCTCTCATCATTTTGAGGCAAAGGAGGAGGAAGCCTAATTCCCTGGTCACGCTGAGGCTGAGAGTTTGCATTCGGTAGGTGTGGCATCATAAGGCCTTGATGAGATGCAGGCGGTGGATGTGAATCACGCTTACGTCTAGGACGCTTATTTCTAACCACATTGTTTGTTGCTTTCTGTCGACCTGTACGAGTAAGCGTAGTTCCCTGAACATGTTGAGGCGTAGGGGTAGGCATCGTGGTGTCCTGATCAGTATCAGGCATAGGAAGTAAATCACGGCTATGACCATTACTCGGCCCCTTATCATTAGTTATGTCGTTTGCGTTCTCTGGGCCTGCAAGCAGAAAAGGAGGGAAGCATTATTTCCTGATGATGCTGAGACAGCGGCTTTGCATTAGTTCCATCAAAAGCTGAAAAATATACCACACCGTTGATCAAGCCATTCGAGGAGTTCCTCAAAAACTAATTACTACCTTGAATTGTGGGGTCCGCGCCAGATACACCATCATTTGGAGCAGCAAATTTGGTTGCTTCCTTCTCCTCTGCTGCCATGAGCTTGTTATTCGACTTGAATAACTTGCAAAATACCCGCTTTTACAACGGGAAGAAAATCAAAACACATTAGTACCAACCTATAATTAATCTTCAAATGAAATGCAGAAGCTAAAACGGGAATTTTAAAATTAGTTTCTTCTCCCACTTGTACGCCAACTCTGTGAAGAGTAGTTGCGCATCAGCTTCTTGGAACTAGATCTCGTGCAAATGAAAAAGATACATGCATCCGCTACTGTAATATATAACTTGATATGTCCATTGACGTTCATCCGATTCTAGTTTCTTACACCTTGTGTGATGTCCATAAGAAACCATAGAGCTGCAGCCCATTTAAACTCCCAACTCTTGCAAATAAGTATAATGTCTAACTATTACTTAATTAGAATAAGTTCAACAGCGTACCTGCATATCGTCAGAAGTTGGTACATCTCTGCTTCCTTCCAGTCTGTATTCATGCATTAGCCATTCAGTCCTCTTCCTATCCTTATCAAGCTTCCCCGCAATGTAGTTTAGTGTCTTTCGGTATCCAATCAGTTTACCATCCTTGTGGATGAGAGAATCCGTTCCACAAGGTTCCCAATATCCATCATTGTTCGCGCTAACACCGTTAGATTGACCTCCCTCTGTATACTTGTTGCTTGCTGGGCTCAGAAAGTACCATTTTTTCGCTTGAGATGGATGGTGCATCTCTGTCAAAATGAAACTAGCTTTTTTCACTACGACTGAGATCGACAATGACACTAATAAGATTGGAGATGTAAAAAATTCTTGATTTTGCTACTATAAGAGACAACAGCACCGAGCTTCTCAATCCATCACATCCAAATGTGGGCAAAGAAGACATGGATATTTAACAAAAACAAGAAAAAAGAAATGAAAAACCATTGTCAGGCCTAACCTTAACTTTGGGATTTCCTATTACGGCTAATGGAATAAATAAATATTCACAACCTAAAACTTATATGGGATGCTTGTAACTAGAGCTCCATGATGCATTTTCTTTGTTGCACCAAATAGATCCTCTTAACGTGATACATCATGCATTGCAAGAAAAAAGATTCTCTGAATTCGGAGAAAAGTTGGTCTTTCCAAATGTTTACATTTTAAGGGTGTGTTTGGTACGGCGTGAAATGTTTTTCTCGAAAATGAGCAGTTTTAGTACTTATTTTGCCATGTTTGGTCGATGAGTGAAAAACTTTTTTCGAAAATATTTTTTAGTGTTTGGTTAGTGAGTAGAAATTATTTTTTTGAAAAATATATAATTTAGATAAACACTATGGGATGGGGTTGGAAGGGGGGTGGGGATAGGGTAGGGAAGGTTGAAAAAAAAGTTTGGAAAACGCTTTCCTTCCTCTTGAGGAAAATGAGTTCCAGAGGAAAATATTTTCCAAAATATTTAAGCTAACCAAACATGAGAAAATTGAAAAATATTTTCCAAAAAATATTTTCATTTCATACTAAACGCACCTTAAGAGAAACGCTTCAACAAGCACTTTCACTTAGAAGGATGAAAGCAGAGCATGTTTGATACCACGGATCCACAGATTAAATTGGGAAAAAAACACCTTTCACATGATACATTCAGAAAAAGATATTGACCAGAAAACGGCCCCCCCCCCCACACACACACACACAGAGAGAGAACTATACGAGAAAGCTTCTGAGGATGGTACAAGAAGACGTCAACTTCATGAACAGTGTAATTGGGAAAGGGCTGGTCCATCATTTTCTTGTCAAGGTAATGAATTATCAGCTCTTCATCCGCACCAGAGAGCTGATCATCAACCAGCACTTCCTGTTTAGGGATGACTCCAATGTCCGCACAATTCTTGTTCACATTCGTCACATTGGCAGTGCTATCCTGTTTCCCCTTTCCTTCCATTTTTGCACCCTAGTCAAATAAAATAAGATCAATAACAAGATCAATGGTTTCTCAATTTTTGATATTCAACTATACAACAAAAAGCAATAGGAAACACTAATTTGCAAAGAGAAATAAGCGAACCACCTTCTAAGTTGTCGTGGAGGCTCGCCTCTTCTAAGATTTTTCTTACCGCTGTCCTTTCTTGAACCTTAAGAGGTCAAATTTTATAGATATCCCGAAGAAAAAAATGGTAATCATATTTGAATTTTGAAGGGGGAGATCCTTCAAAAATTGGAAAGAAATTTATAACAAAGAATTTAAATTTTTCCCCCAAACAGTTGACGGAGGACTCTTTAGTGACCATTAAGCGGAGATAATGAGTTAGCAAATTCATATTTAGTCTTAAAAGGCATAGTTATCACCTAAGTTGCTCTGACACGTCAGTTGAGGTGCCTCACACCGTCACCCGTGTCACCACGACATTAGTATGGGTATAGGTATGAGATCCGTACCGGATCTGGTCAAATAATTTTGGGTACTTTGACCATGACTGACGG